ACCAGGGGGACTCCCCTCCCCCCCACCCACCCCCCCTTCCGAACCCCCCTCCCCCCCCCCTTCCTAAGGGGGGTGGGTTCAAAACCCTCCCCCCCCCCTCGGCCGTAGCTCGTCGACAGCTCGAGTTAAGGAAAACCGACAGCACTTATCAAAACGACACTCAACACCCGATCTCGCCCCAGTGCTTTTTGATAGTAGTACCCACCCGATCGACCTGAGATCAAGATGGCGAGCGGGAATAACATCGAAGATGGGGGGAAAAAGGGACGCAGCGACGATGACCAGAGGCAACCCAGGGGGGGGTGGGTTTGAACCCCGCCCCCTGGCGCCGGGGGGGAAGGGGCGGGGGGGTTTAAACCCCCCCCGTTCCTCGCGCCGACGCCGGCGCTGGCGGCGGCCAGCAGCGCCGGCGCTGGCGCCGGCGACGGCGGGGACGCAGCGACACTTACCACCACTACCACCACCACCACCACCGCCTCAACCCACCACCACCACAACCAACAGCACCACACAACCACCACCACCACAGCCACCACAAACCACCACCACAACCACCACAAACTCACCATCACCACCACCACCACCACCACAAAAACCAACCACCACTACCACCACTACCACCACAATCTACCACACCACCACCACCACCGCCACAACCACCACCAGTGCCAGCAGCACAACACACCACCACCGCCACCACCACCACCACCACAAACCACCACACCACCACCACCACCACCGACGCCACCACCACCACCACAACAAACGTCCACAAACCACCACCACCACAACCCACCACCACTACCACCACAAACCACCACTACACCACCACAACCACACCACCACAACCACCACCACCACCACCACAACTCACCATCACCACCACCACCGCAAAAAACCCACCACCACTACCACCACCACCACATTCTACCACAACACCACCACCACCACCGCCACAACCACCACCAGTACCAGCAGCACAACCCACCACCACCACCACCACCACTACAACCCACCACCACCACCACCACAAACCACCACAAACCACCACACCACCACCACCAATCACCACCACCACCACACCACCACCACCACCACCACCACCCCCACCACCACCACCACCACCACCACCACCACCACCACCCACCACACCACCACCACCACACCACCACCACCACCACCACCACACACCACCACCACCACCACCACCCACCACCCACCACCACCACCACCACCACCACCACCACCACACCACCACCACCACCACCACCACCACCACAACACCACCACCACACCACCACCACCACCACCACCACCACCACCACCACCACCACCACCACCACCACCACCACCACCACCACCACCACCACCACCACACCACCACACCACCACCACCACCACCACCACCACACCACCACCACCACCACCACCACCCACCACCACCACCACCACCACCACCACCACCACCACCACACACCTACCAACCACCACCACCACAACCCACCACCACCACCACCGTCGTCCTCGTCGAAGCTCCCCGCCACCGCCGCCCGCCGCCGCAAGCGCCGGCGCCGGCCCACAAACGGAAATCGTCGTCCCCGCCGCCGTCGCCATCCGCCGCCGACACAATCGCCGGCCCGAGAAGAGAGGAAGCTGAGGAGGTAGTGAGGGGGGGGTTCGACCCCCCCCCCTTCCATCCAGGGGGGGGGTCCGGTTTCACCCCCCCCCTCCAAGCGACCACAGAACGCGCTCTGTCGTACATATAGACGCCCTCTTTGTTGTTGCTTTCTCTCTCTCTCTCTCTCCATTGTCCCCCCACAGAGGCATAAGTGCACACACCATGATGAATATACATAGCTATCGCTCTCTGTCTCGCTCTCTCCATCTCTCTCTCTCTCTCTCTCTCTCTCTCTCCATACTCTACACATGTATAACTGCATGTCCATCATTCTAAGCATTGGTCTCCATCTGATCAAAATATTGATTTGAGTCGCTGTGCTCTGACCGCCGTGATTCTCGCCGCTGGAGGGACGTTCCCTCAGGAAGCGTATGTCCCGTCGCCCTTTCCCCCATCTCCAATACATTAGCCTGGCGGAGGACCCAACCATGTGCAAATGTGAATACCGCCCATCACTACCACTCATGCCGCCCCACCGGCCAACGTGCGGCCCTCCGACCACGCGCGCGCAACGCCAACGCTCCAACGAGCGCAAAACACAATTCCAACAATTTCGCGATGGCCCTGTCCTTCTACGCCGCCGACATACGTGCGACCGTCCGACAGCGTCTGCGCAAGGCGGCAACCCCAACGAGCCCCCCATAACCATTTCAAAATTTCGCGATGGTCCTGTCCTTCTACGCGCTCGAAATCGAAAACTCTCAACGAGTTCCTCCCCACACCTACATGCGACCATCCGCGAGCGCGTGCGCAAAGCGACCACTCCGTGTCAAAGCAACGCAGGCGTGACCAAGATAATTGCCAGCATACTTCGATCGGCGA